CGTCGTTACTGAATATCCCAACACTGCAGCCGTTAATTTTGGCAATAGACATAACCCGTGTTGTTCTCATACCGGTTTTAATTCAGCCCGTGAATTCAGCCCAATTCTGCAAATAGATAAAGCTCAATGTCTTGTGCATCATTTACAAGTGTTATAACCACAATAAGAGCTTGAATATCGAAATTTGAAGTCTCCTAAACGTCTCGATATGTAAATTCGCAGAATTATGCAAGATTTCTTAGAATCGTTGGAGGACAAGATTATCAAGAAGTATGTCTCCTGAATTCGTAGTGCACATAGCAAGACAGAAGATGGCTGCCGAACCGACGCTGCCTGTGTCATCTACATTTGAGTGGTCCATTTGTGATATTCTGAAAATGATGGATGCAGGCAGTTCTCACCAAACCACAGATTGCCTGTTCAGCACTATTATAGACTGGCTTGGGCAACCGAACTTCAAGACATCAGTGTTTCCAGCGCCCAGCGAACTCTGCGGGCTGTTCTCGCATCTGACATTTAACTTTTCAAAATATGTGCTGAGATACAGTGCAAGTATATTCACAAACTGCAGTCGTTTTCCGTATCAGGAAGAGATTGTTAATCAATGGTTCACTGAATTTACTGAGGAAGTGCAGCGAGACGAGGCAGTCCACATAATGAACGTCGATAAAGATGGACAGACAAAGAAGTGTTACACAGTCCAAAATTCAATTGATAGTTTTCCAGTGTCGCTGGAAGATGATGATTTCGAGGTGTTTTGTCATGGAACAAGCCATGACGGCGCTCACGACATAATGGAGTGTGGTATAGACTTGACCAGGGGGAAAGGAAAGCAAGACTTTAGCAGTGGAGATGGGTTTTACCTCGGTAAAAACTTTGAAGAAGCTTGCAAATGGACAAAAACTCGTGGGCATTCTACTTCTGCCGTGCNTGTTCTCGCATCTGACATTTAACTTTTCAAAATATGTGCTGAGATACAGTGCAAGTATATTCACAAACTGGAGTCGTTTTCCGTATCAGGAAGAGATTGTTAATCAATGGTTCACTGTATTTACTGAGGAAGTGCAGCGAGACGAGGCAGTCCACGTAATGAACGTCGATAAAGATGGACAGACAAAGAAGTGTTACACAGCCCAAAATCCAATTGACAGTTTTCCACTGTCGCTGGAAGATGATGATTTCGAAGTGTTTTGTCATGGAACAAGCCATGACGGCGCTCAAGACATAATGGAGTGTGGTATAGACTTGACAAGGGGGAAAGGATGGCAAGACTTTAGCAGTGGAGATGGGTTTTACCTCGGTAAAAACTTTGAAGAAGCTTGCAAATGGACAAAAACTCGTGGGTATTCTACTTCTGCCGTGCTTGTCTTTCGAGTGAACAAGGTAGAATTGAGAGGAGGTGATAACGACAATGGTTTGGATCTCAGAAAGCCAGAGAGAAAGAAGGAATGGCAAGAAGTAGTGTCACAATTTCGCTCTGGAAAGCCAGATAAAAAGTTCCGTAGAGACTTAAATCGGAATCATCAGTTTATTGAAGGGCCAATGGCCTCACTATCCAGCAAGAACCCACGTTTGGAATACCCCAAGCAAAAAGATGGCACTTATCAGCTCTGTGTCAGAAACGACGATTGTGCCGAACTATTTGATCGAAGCCTTCACACGGTAGTTTTCTTTGGGAAATAAGGACTTTGTTCCAGGGTTTATCTATTCCATCAGGGAAGATTCGTCTTTAATTTGAGCAGATATGTGCAGTCTTGTTTTACTTGTGTTAACAAAACAGGGTGTTACCTGACATAAGATTTCTCAGTAGGATTTAGTTTTGCTATTAAACTGAACTTAACCACACATGGGCGTCAGTTTTATCTTTGTAGCTTCGCTGCGCGCTGAGAGCGACAATCATTTAATCATTGGAGCCGGTAAAAACAATTTCCTTGTGAGTTCAAACTGATTTATTATATGCGTGTCTTTCAACTTTATCCGCTATTCTGGCGGTTCCGATCAGTTCTAAGATGAACATCCCTCCAAAATGAAGGTTGTACTGATAAATTCCAGATTGCTTCTTTCAAAGCTCATAGGCTCACCGAGTTAGCATACATCAATTACAATTCTCATTTTTAAAAACGGACAATGAACGCGCAGAATAACCATGTGCCATATTGCATCACTCATTGCAACTCACTATACACACATTTGCTTTTACATTACGTTAGTTTCTTCTGTACTTCATTTGAACCATTTGTTTGCATTACTGAATTATGTTACAACATGATATACACAGTAAATTACTTATCATACATGCAAGATACATATTATACATTCTCTACAATGAAACAAAAACTGAGAAATTCTTCCCTATATATTACAGAAATGAGATGTCTTTTGCAATCTAATCTCAAATGGCTGTTCACTTTAAACAAGAGGACATTTTGTACCGTTGAACTTATCAAGAACTTAACAGTTAGCTGAAACGTCTTTGTACCATCTACAAAATAAAAATCTGTGACGAGCTTTAACTTTTTTCAACGATGAATCTCCTGACTACAACTACTTGGGAAGTTTAATTTGTGCCATGCATGTGCGCAAATTTTTCCTCCTCTGTACGCGTTCAAAATACACTATGCACAACTGAGAAAAGCAAAATGCAGGTTTCAATTCTGTAACCTGAACATTTTATCAATAAACTCTTCAGTTTCCAGGCGCAGTAAACAGAACTATTCTGTCACTACCGCAATCGACTCAGTCTAGTTCGCAGAAGTACGACATCAAAATCGAAGACCGCTGCTAGATTTTAAAAATATAGTAGCTTCTTGCATTTGGTTTCAAAGCTACAAGAGTAATAGCTTTTGGAAAAAAAAAAACTAAAAAGCGAACAAAATACAACGATCACATGAAAATAAATCAACTTGCTTTTGTGAGCTGAAAAATTTCAGACTGAAATTACGCTCATCGCAATACTGAGCTAAGCCTGAGCATATTGTGATTGCGATCTTGGAATCTCCAACAAAGTTTTCTTAAGTTGATTTCGGTAAAGGCTTTCACAGTGCGGCCTTAACGTTCCTTTATTTTTACTGTGTACACAAAACTTTAAAATTCTCGGTCTTTACGGCCGACTAACTAGACCGGAGACAGTCCCGTTGTCCATTTTCTCGCGAAGCATCTTGTTCTAGAGGCATTTATTTGTCAGTTAGACCTAAAACTAGTTTATTTCGCTTTAGCATATGTCCAGAAACATAACTGAGTGGAGGGTTTCTCGAAAAGTATCGGCGAAGTCTTCTGAAATCAAACACATTTGATTTGATGAAGGTTTCGGTTCAATCACCAATTCTCCACTTTCGTTTCTTGTTATTGTGGCTGCTG